CAAAAAGAATAGTTGGCTATTAAACAAGAATAAGATGTCTGACTTTTATTGTTTAATAGGGGCCGATCACCAAGACTTTAGAGAATCATTTATATTACAAAATTTTGTTTTGTGTGTAAATAAAATGGAATTAATGTGAGACTCAATTTACACTGTGATGGAGACACAACATAAAGACAATACATTTTAAGTAATTGTATAATGGCATCTTTCTATGAATGAAGGTATCACTTTAATACAACTACTGATGTCTCAATGAAAATGATTTCCCCCAAAATTTTAAACATTTATTAGGCTTCAAAAATATAACAACTTTTAATTTAAGTGAACTTAAAACAAACCTTACATAAACCCATAATACATTTCATATTTACCTTTGCCTTTTCTGTCTAACTGGTATGAAATATACTTCTATACAGAAATTGAATAATGTTGTAAAATTGTCAGCTCTGCATAAATTATAAAGTAAATATAGATTAATCCTTATTAAAGCTATAAGCTTTCTTTAGACAAGAGCAGTGAGTAATTTTCACTCATCCCTTTATTCTTTAGTTTACTTTACTGAGAAAGAAAATGAGTGGCTGCTCTCAATTTAAGACCTGCTGATCTCTAATAGACTTCAGCTCCAACCAGAGAGGAGTTAGAGACTCTAATAGACTTCAGCTCCAACCAGAGAGGAGTTAGAGACTCTAATAGACTTCAGCTCCAACCAGAGAGGAGTTCGAGACTCTAATAGACTTCAGCTCCAACCAGACAGGAGTTAGAGACTCTAATAGACTTCAGCTCCAACCAGAGAGGAGTTAGAGACTCTAATAGACTTCAGCTCCAACTAGAGAGGAGTTAGAGACTCTAATAGACTTCAGCTCCAATCAGAGAGGAGTTAGAGACTCTAATAGACTTCAGCTCCAATCAGAGAGGAGTTAGAGACTCTAATAGACTTCAGCTCCAATCAGAGAGGAGTTAGAGACTCTAATAGACTTCAGCTCCAACCAGAGAGGAGTTAGAGACTCTAATAGACTTCAGCTCCAACTAGAGAGGAGTTAGAGACTCTAATAGACTTCAGCTCCAACCAGAGAGGAGTTAGAGACTCTAATAGACTTCAGCTCCAACTAGAGAGGAGTTAGAGACTCTAATAGACTTCAGCTCCAACCAGAGAGGAGTTAGAGACTCTAATAGACTTCAGCTCCAACCAGAGAGGAGTTAGAGACTCTAATAGACTTCAGCTCCAACCAGAGAGGAGTTAGAGACTCTAATAGACTTCAGCTCCAACCAGAGAGGAGTTAGAGACTCTAATAGACTTCAGCTCCAATCAGAGAGGAGTTAGAGACTCTAATAGACTTCACCTCCAACCAGAGAGCAGTTAGAGACTCTAATAGACTTCAACTCCAATCAGAGAGGAGTTAGAGACTCTAATAGACTTCAGCTCCAACCAGAGAGGAGTTCGAGACTTTAATAGACTTCAGCTCCAACCAGAGAGGAGTTCGAGACTTTAATAGACTTCAGCTCCAATCAGAGAGGAGTTCGAGACTCTAATAGACTTCAGCTCCAACCAGAGAGGAGTTAGAGACGCTAATAGACTTCAGCTCCAACCAGAGAGGAGTTCGAGACTTTAATAGACTTCAGCTCCAATCAGAGAGGAGTTCGAGACTCTAATAGACTTCAACTCCAATCAGAGAGGAGTTAGAGACTCTAATATACTTCAGCTTCAACCAGAGAGGAGTTAGAGACTCTAATAGACTTCAGCTCCAACCAGAGAGGAGTTAGAGACTCTAATAGACTTCAGCTCCAACCAGAGAGGAGTTAGAGACTCTAATAGACTTCAGCTCCAACCAGACAGGAGTTAGAGACTCTAATAGACTTCAGCTCCAACCAGAGAGGAGTTAGAGACTCTAATAGACTTCAGCTCCAACCAGAGAGGAGTTCGAGACTCTAATAGACTTCAGCTCCAACCAGAGAGGAGTTAGAGACTCTAATAGACTTCAGCTCCAACCAGAGAGGAGTTAGAGACTCTAATAGACTTCAGCTCCAACCAGACAGGAGTTAGAGACTCTAATAGACTTCAGCTCCAATCAGAGAGGAGTTAGAGACTCTAATAGACTTCAGCTCCAACCAGACAGGAGTTAGAGACTCTAATAGACTTCAGCTCCAACCAGAGAGGAGTTAGAGACTCTAATAGACTTCAGCTCCAACCAGAGAGGAGTTCGAGACTCTAATAGACTTCAGCTCCAACCAGAGAGGAGTTAGAGACTCTAATAGACTTCAGCTCCAACCAGAGAGGAGTTAGAGACTTTAATAGACTTCAGCTCCAATCAGAGAGGAGTTCGAGACTCTAATAGACTTCAGCTCCAACCAGACAGGAGTTCGAGACTTTAATAGACTTCAGCTCCAATCAGAGAGGAGTTCGAGACTCTAATAGACTTCAGCTCCAACCAGAGAGGAGTTAGAGACTCTAATAGACTTCAGCTCCAACCAGACAGGAGTTCGAGACTTTAATAGACTTCAGCTCCAATCAGAGAGGAGTTAGAGACTCTTATAGACTTCAGCTCCAATCAGAGAGGAGTTCGAGACTCTAATAGACTTCAGCTCCAACCAGAGAGGAGTTAGAGACTCTAATAGACTTCAGCTCCAACCAGAGAGGAGTTCGAGACTCTAATAGACTTCAGCTCCAACCAGAGAGGAGTTCGAGACTCTAATAGACTTCAGCTCCAACCAGAGAGGAGTTAGTGACTCTAATAGACTTCAGCTCCAACCAGAGAGGAGTTAGAGACTCTAATAGACTTCAGCTCCAACCAGAGAGGAGTTCGAGACTCTAATAGACTTCAGCTCCAACCAGAGAGGAGTTAGAGACTCTAATAGACTTCAGCTCCAACCAGAGAGGAGTTAGAGACTCTAATAGACTTCAGCTCCAACCAGAGAGGAGTTCGAGACTCTAATAGACTTCAGCTCCAACCAGAGAGGAGTTAGAGACTCTAATAGACTTCAGCTCCAACCAGAGAGGAGTTCGAGACTCTAATAGACTTCAGCGCCAATCAGAGAGGAGTTCGAGACTCTAATAGACTTCAGCGCCAATCAGAGAGGAGTTCGAGACTCTAATAGACTTCAGCTCCAACCAGAGAGGAGTTAGAGACTCTAATAGACTTCAGCTCCAACCAGAGAGGAGTTCGAGACTCTAATAGACTTCAGCTCCAACCAGAGAGGAGTTAGAGACTCTAATAGACTTCAGCTCCAACCAGAGAGGAGTTCGAGACTCTAATAGACTTCAGCTCCAACCAGAGAGGAGTTAGAGACTCTAATAGACTTCAGCTCCAACCAGAGAGGAGTTAGAGACTCTAATAGACTTCAGCTCCAACCAGAGAGGAGTTCGAGACTCTAATAGACTTCAGCTCCAACCAGAGAGGAGTTAGAGACTCTAATAGACTTCAGCTCCAACCAGAGAGGAGTTCGAGACTCTAATAGACTTCAGCGCCAATCAGAGAGGAGTTCGAGACTCTAATAGACTTCAGCTCCAACCAGAGAGGAGTTAGAGACTCTAATAGACTTCAGCGCCAATCAGAGAGGAGTTAGAGACTCTAATAGACTTCAGCTCCAATCAGAGAGGAGTTCGAGACTCTAATAGACTTCAGCGCCAATCAGAGAGGAGTTAGAGACTCTAATAGACTTCAGCTCCAATCAGAGAGGAGTTCGAGACTCTAATAGACTTCAGCTCCAACCAGAGAGGAGTTAGAGACTCTAATAGACTTCAGCTCCAATCAGAGAGGAGTTAGAGACTCTAATAGACTTCAGCGCCAATCAGAGAGGAGTTAGAGACTCTAATAGACTTCAGCTCCAATCAGAGAGGAGTTCGAGACTCTAATAGACTTCAGCGCCAATCAGAGAGGAGTTAGAGACTCTAATAGACTTCAGCTCCAATCAGAGAGGAGTTCGAGACTCTAATAGACTTCAGCGCCAACCAGAGAGGAGTTAGAGACTCTAATAGACTTCAGCTCCAATCAGAGAGGAGTTAGAGACTCTAATAGACTTCAGCGCCAATCAGAGAGGAGTTCGAGACTCTAATAGACTTCAGCGCCAATCAGAGAGGAGTTAGAGACTCTAATAGACTTCAGCGCCAATCAGAGAGGAGTTCGAGACTCTAATAGACTTCAGCTCCAACCAGAGAGGAGTTAGAGACTCTAATAGACTTCAGCTCCAACCAGAGAGGAGTTCGAGACTCTAATAGACTTCAGCGCCAATCAGAGAGGAGTTCGAGACTCTAATAGACTAATTAGTGACGCTAATAGACTCCAGACCTGACTCAGACTTCAGATGAAAGACTGGGTTCAGCACACTTGCTTGTATTCTTCAAGTTACCCTGAACACCTTGATTCGCTGTTTCAGGTGATCAGGGTTGGAGAGTCCTGCACTACAGTGATCGTTAAACAATCAACCCATCTTTACTTCTATAGCACTTTTTACAACAGATTGTTTCAAAGCAGCTTTACAGAGATAACAGGAAAACGATGCATTTGCAAATATTCACCCAGTTCCTTCTGCAATATAACGATCGAGTTGTGTGCATTCTGCTGTGACATCACAATCCTGTTGCATTTTGGGTATGAAGTTGCCTGAAGCCGAGGGTCTGTCCATCTAAACTTCTCTTGTCCACTTGACGGAATGGAGTGGTGTTTCCTCCGAGGGGAAGTGCTTAGGGAAGACAGCTAGTGTTCGTTTAGGAGGAAGTGGGACACAGTCCAGCACAGTCTTCCATTTACAGTGAGTTCAGTGAAGCCAGAATCATTTCACATCAACCCTGCTCTTCATCCATATTCATCTTCAGGTTATTGAATTGTGAAGTAATGCTTCCGTTGCAGAATTTTGTCCACAAACTGTTTTCACTTTAAGCGGCTGAATATTCAGTGCATCATACAGCACTTTTAAAGTGCATGAACATACACACCTTGTTGTTTTGTTTCTGTTAATAATTGTTGCATATTGTAACTTATTTCCTCTGTGTTTCCGTTCAGGGTCGACATGTCAAAACCGGACAGCTGGCGGCCATCAAAGTCATGGACGTGACTGAAGTAAGTGCACTGACTTCACTTCAATGTGCTCAAGTTCAGAAAAAGACGAACACTGAGTTTAGACCAAAAGTATTTCTTCGGATTATATAGAGATACTAAATAACACATTTAAAACATATTTTGTCTAGCTTTAAGCTAGTGAAAACACTTCCTGGATGTGTTGTCATGATTTAGGGAGATTTGTCATGTATTATTTAAGAAACATTTCTGCCTGCGTGTGAATTTATTTCACTTTGAACACAATATAGTAGACCACGAGAAAGGAATCAGCCTGGTTTGATATGCAAAGTTGAAGTTTATTTACTTTTCTGCTTAGCAATATTACGATTGAATTAACGCATTCATCATTGACGCGGTACATCAGAAAGTAAAACTACCCATAGAACTATAAAAACAGATCCAAATATACCACACATGTTCGGGAGTACAGTAACAATTCTTTTCATCATACAGTCTAATGGAAAGAGGAGTGGCAGAGCTAGCGTAGCGTTTGGTCCTTTAATCGAGCGCAGATTATTTTGCTTTCTAAGAAGCCAAGCAGTTTTTGTATTTGATGCAAGATGACAATGCGGTAAATACTTTTGCTAGTTTGTTAGACATGTATACATTCATGTCTTTCCAGATGTATACATTTTGTGAAAGTCCTGATTGCCTGCACAAAACTCACTGCATTGATAGTGTTATTATAATATTATAATAGTTATTAGTGTTTTTTTTTGCCAAATGTCAAATATAAACCTTTTTACTCCTGGATTCAATGTTGTCAAAAGTTCAGAGGGATTTGGTCTTTAATATCTACAGTTTAAAAAAAAAGACTAGATCATTGTTACCCCTTTTCCACCCAAAAAGAACTGGTTTGGAACTGGTGCTGGTTCATAGTTGGTTCGGAGTTGGTTCAACTTGCGAACCGCTTCAGAACCTGTTTGTTTTTCCACTGACTAGAGCACCCAGGGAACGACGTTGTTACGTCACTGTGTACGTCGCTAGAAACACTTGCAAGTACATTACTTTGTGATTATCTCTAACTCGTGTACCAAGAAGGCTTTAAAAACAATTGAAATATGTAAGTCTTTTAATGTTTTCGTTTTTGATATGTAATCTTTTCTGATAAGTTATGTATCCTTGTCTTGTGTCTTTTTTTTTTCCATTCCATTTCTTTCCATCGTGACTGTTTTCTTTGCTTATGTTTCAAATAAAGAATAAAAACGCTTGCGCCAACTTCAAGCTTAATAACAAAGGTGGACTCCATCGTGTTTCTACAAATGTTTCTCCTGGCTTTGCGATCGTTTATTATGGTCAGAAAAGATGTTTAGCACACATCTAAACCCGCCCCAGCCCCGACGTAAACATGACGTGGTAAAAGAACGGTTCTAGTCCAGCAAAGAGTTGGTGCCGCTTTGGAACCAGTTTTCCCGGCTGAGAACCGGTTCTTTGGCTGTCGAAACACAAAGAACTGGTTCGCGCGCAGACACCGGCTCCGAACCGGCTCTCAAAATGGTTTGGTGGAAAAGGGGCTTATATCAACAAATCATTCAATTACTCCATTCCTAGCATACATTAGATTCATAGTATTCATTATTCATGTAGATTTATTCATAATTCATAAGAGCAGAGATTTGTGCTCGTGATGTTTGTCAGTATAACAGTTGCGTACACTGGCTCAGGTCTCTCGTTCAACACGACACACACACACACACACACACACATCAGCTTTATGTCCTCATTTACTCGCCCAAACCAGTGTGACTGACTGCCTTCAGAAAATAGTTTGAGAAATGTCTCATGGTCTGTGTTTTCTTTTGTTGTTTTTTTGCTCAGTCATGCTTATTGAGAAAATCTGTCCATATTATTTTCATTTATAGAAGGTAAGAATTGATTAAAAAATAAAACTCACTTGTGGAACCCTTCATAGCTTTCGACATTGATGTGAATGTTTGGGGTTTATTGCTTGACGTGTTGATTTACACCAAACAAGTTTGATCGATTGTCATCTAAAGTCCACATAGACACTACACAACTGTATTCATGACACTTCCTGTGTGTGTGTGTGTGTGTTCAGGATGAAGAAGAGGAGATTAAGCTGGAGATTAACATGCTGAAGAAATACTCTCATCACAGAAACATTGCCACGTATTACGGCGCGTTCATTAAGAAGAGTCCTCCAGGACACGACGACCAGCTGTGGGTTAGTGACGCTCTCTCTCTCACACACACACGACACACTCCAGAGAAACGCTGCACACACACACACACACAGACGTGGGAAGCCATTTTTGGTAGGGGGTGCGGGGTGCTGACGATGGGGATGGGGGGGGTTTGTTAGGGTCGGGGGTCGTTGAAGTGGAAGTCGTTTGATGCGGCGCTGCGGGCGCTGTAAAAGCTGTGCACAGAGCCAAGCACGAGGTCTTGTCGGTCGAGTTGTCATAGTCGAGTATAAGCTTAAAGGCTTTAACTTACTCCGCTCTGCTCGCGCACAGACGACCTCTCCCAATCAATTCCAGCAGACGCAGCCTCCGATCGCTCTACTCTCCGCCTCGGTTTCCCTCGTAATCTGATATTAGTATTTAAACATTCTCTATGATATTTTTGTTTTTTAAATGACACACTGTCTCTTTCTCTCTCACACACACACATACACACATACACTGTCTCTTTCTCTCTCACACACACACACACACACACATACACTGTCTCTTTCTCTCTCACACACACACATACACACACATACATACACTGTCTTTTTCTCTCTCACACATAGGCTAGTTATAAACTCTTTATTTTATAATTTGTGGGTTAGAATCATGTAAAATAATCCCTTATTTTGGGGATGGTTTCCGTGAAATCTCCCTTATTTTCAAATTTTACAGCTATGCACTCGAAACGCACGCTTGCTCGGGCGTCTGCCTCTTGTCTGGATGAAGAGTCGGTGAGAATTCTTGCTAGTCCTCGGCCTCGGGTTTTGGGGGTCGGATTGAAAAAAATCCAAAATTCTCTTTTGAGTCATTGCTAACTAATTATATTGATATAGCGCTGATATTGATATAGACTAACGTTATGATTAGCAATCAAGTGTCTTGACGCGAATCACGCGATTACTAAAAAAACAGTAATCGCGTGATTCACGTCAAGACACCTGATTGGCTAATACACACTGAAGATAAATTAAATAATTTTTAATTAAATAATTTCTAAAAATGAACCCTTTTCATCCCACACCCAAAACATGACATACAAAATGTTGTGGAACAGAAACAACACCCAGATTTATATCTATAAGCTATCATTTTTTGACATCACTGTTTGCCAACAGGGGGCGCTACTTCCCGCGTCCATGCAAACACACGACACACTCCAGAGAAACGCTGAACACACACACACACACACACACACGACATACTCGAGAGAAACACTGCACACACACACTCACACACACAGGCTGAATTTATTATATTTTTCCCCAACAAAAAAGATGTGAAGTGCAAGCATGTAAATCTGACCAAACATGGAGGGAAACACATTCTGCCTCCAGACAGACATAAAGCAGGAAACACATGACACTTCATGATGACAACAGCATGTGACGCCAGATAGTCTTCAACCACGTTCCTGGATTTAGAGCGTTTTATTCCTCTACTGTGATCCAAGGAAGATGAAAAAGTGTCAAAAAAGGCTCTGTATTGCAAGCTGCATTTTTATAAAAGAAGAAATCCTGGAGGAATGATTATGGTTTAATTAACCCTCTGGTGCTGTTGGGTCAATTTCGGGCAAAAAATATTTTTTTGTTTTTGAATTTTTTACTTGATCAGAATGGTTCGCGATTTATTAAATGATTTGGGACTTGCTGTGAGAACGCAAAAAAAATAATAATTCATGGACATTATTTATGTGGATGTATTGTTCACAATAAAAAAATAGTGCATTGGTATCCGTATTTCACCTAGTGGAAGCGTTTGGTAGTGTGCACAAACAAATGACTGAAAGCTCAAAGATGTAAAGATATAAAATATCAAAGATATAAAATAATCGATCGATCAAGGTTCAGAATTACAGGTGAGAATGAACTCACAACGAACAGAAGTTTAGATGAGAATGAACACAGAATAAACAAAAAACATACAAGAGGAAGAATGATAGCGCCACCACCGGTTCAAAAATTCACATTTGAAATGGTTATAACTTTTGAACAATTTGATCTCACTTTCTGTAAAGCTGCTTTGAAACAATATGTATTGTGAAAAGTGCTATACTAATAAACCTGAATTGAATTGAAATGGAATCTAGAAAAATGAAATTTAGTACACCTGATTACTCTCTTTATGCACATTCAACATCTTACTTTAAGACTCCGCCCATTACAGTAGTGGCCATTTTCAAAAGGCATTTAATTTGGGTTAGGGTGTTTGAAGGCGTCGTGAAACTGAATACTGTACTTTTGAAAATGGCCACTACTGTAATGGGTACAGTAGTGGCCATTTTCAAAAGTACAGTATTCAGTTTCACTACGCCTTCAAATTTTGCTCAATTCTTGGAGTGACAGAGACTGTGATTCTGATTGCTGTGTGGTACAACCTTATAAAATTGTGTCCTATGTTTTTACATAGTGATGACTTGTATATGAACAATATGTGAGCAAGTATGAATGATTAAAAATTTTGAAAATAGACACTACTGTAATGGGCGGAGTCTTAATGTAAGATGTTGAATGTGATCAGCATAAAGAGAGTAATCAGGTGTACTAAATTTAATTTTTCTGGATCAAATTGTTCAAAAGTTATAACCGTTTCAAATGTGAATTTTTGAACTGGTGGTGGCGCTATAGAGTTAATTCTATTCATTACCATCACTACAAGTGTGCCAATTTTCATAATTTTCTCATGTTCCGTTCTTAGGGATGCCATAGACTCCCATTCGGTAAGAATAATAAAATAACAATTCCAATAGGGGCTACAGCACCTAAAAACATTATCGAATAAATATTACAATCATTTCATTTTAATAAAACATTACGGTCATTTTTGACCTACACGTGTACAGTACCAGAGGGTTAAATCTGTCATTATTTGGAACCAAATGCCGCTTTTCCACTGCATGGTACGGTACAGCTTGCTTTGGGTCGCTTTAAATGGTGCCACCTCTGTGGAGGTTACAAAGCGTACCGTACCGATACTAAAATGTGACGTGAAAACACTGCAGATCACTGATTGGTCAGAGAGAATCGTCACTACCGGCGTCATCGTGTTTGCGAGACATCAAACCAGCTAGACTTAAATAGCCAGTAACAGCCGCCGCTGTAGCACCTGTTTTAAAACTACTTGCTTGAAGAAAATTGAAAGAAAAAAGTTTCAAAAAAGAAATGGCCGAATCGTGGTCAGTGGACGAAGTGCAGAATACAGACACTCCTCTCGTTGGTTACAGAGGAGCGGATAAATAATCAGTCTATAATCCCCACCCTCTTTAAAGCAGAACCAACTACAGTGGAAAAGCAAACCGAGCCGTGTCGTGCTGAGCCGAGTCGTACCAAGCAGTGGAAAAGCCAAGCGAGCCGAACCGTACTGAGCCGTACCGAGCCGAACCATGCAGTGGAAGAGCGCCAATAGTTTATCCAGTTGTTTTTAATGTATTCTTAGTGGATTCTTACTTGATTCCTATGGGTTCAGTTATAATTAAAATCTCCTTCAAGATATATTCCATCATAAATAAAGTCTTAAAACGCAGATGGGTGCTTCACGTTAACTTTAAAGCAACTCTTTGGAACTTTTGGCCACTAGAGGCGCTCGACCTGTAACTTTCACGTCTAGCGTCCCTAGAGGCCACAAGCTCCGCAGCACTGTCGCAAATTAAAGTCAACCAACAGTCAACCGGTCAGCCTCCCGTGTCTTTAGATTGTGTTTGCTTGCAGTGTTTGAGACGGGCAGCCTTGCCGCACTCGATTCCCTTATAGCAGCCGGCTGAGAGAGAGCGAGCGGGTGATCCCCGTGGGGATTATCATGTCTGTGAGTGAATGTGGGTGCGGGACAGCGGGCACATTCACTGCACTGAAAACATCGACGGCCTGAGCTGACTGTATGTGTGTGTTGGTTTATTTTTACAGAAACTGAGTACATGTGATGTGTTGTGTTTGTGGGTACTGCTGAGTCGTGGGCACGTTCACTACATTTAATGTAACGTTACATTTGACATGAGTCGATTTAATTAGTGCGAGCCCTGCACTGAGGCGGGCTGTGTTTGTGTGTAGAAATGAACACTGGGCTGTGGGCATTTTATTACACTCGTAACACCATCGGCTGTGGCCGGAATACCAGAAAATACTACACTGCTTATATGAATTTATCTGGGTTACCTTAGAAACGGCATTTGTGTGCAGGCAAGCATCAGTATCGGTTGATCACCCCTCCTCCTCCGTTAGCTCACGCCAGCGAGCGAAGCGAAAGCTGGACCAATGTTAATCCTCGTCCTGGCTTTTAATTTGTCACTCTCCCCTTTTCTTTTTTTAGTTTGCTCTGATAAACCGTTGCCTTCTTCCTTGTAGCTGTTGTTCGGCATGACGAAAACATACAGACGGCAATCAAACGCGAGTTGAACACTAACGTCAGAATCTGAGGAAGTTTGGGGTGATGGGGAAAGTGACGTATGCCGTAAAGCGGTCGAATTTTGTAGTTACATAGTGCTAGTAAAAGCAATACAGACACCTTCAGGAGACGGCAGTCGGGTCATTCAACCTATTGTAAGTCCATGTACCATCTCAATGGGTTTTGGTAATATGTTATAAAGGTTAAAAAGTTACAAAGTGTGGCTTTAAATGCCAAATTAATCTTTGATAAAGTTAAACCCAGAGACTTCATTCCCATTAACTTAGCTGATGACAGAAGAACCTGACAGTTCCCAGAAATCACACTCACTGGACAGATCTAAATCCAGACTCTGAGGCCACGAGAGCTCTGGAAAAAGTACATGTACAGTCTGCTCTATTACTCTAGGGATGCAAATAAAAGCCAAAAGTAGGTTTCTTTATATTTCGATTTATTTCATAAATGATGTATGTGTAGTGAATTTGTGTCTGTTGTTTGTGTAGCTAGTGATGGAGTTTTGTGGAGCCGGCTCGATAACAGACCTTGTGAAAAACACGAAAGGAAACACACTGAAAGAAGACTGGATCGCGTACATCTCCAGAGAAATTCTCAGGGTATGAAGCGCATGTTGACACTAACATGACAGTGGATGTGTGTGTTTGGAGTCGCTGATTGAGTTATCTCTCCTCTCATTCCCTCCTCTCCTATCCCCTCCCCTCCTTGCCTCTCCTATCCCCTCCTCCTCTCCTCTTCTCGCCTCTTCTATCCCTCTCATCTCATCTCCTCTCCTCTCCTATCCCCTCCTCCTCTCCTCTTCTCTCCTCTCCTATCCCTCACCTATCCCTATCCCTCTCCTCTGCTCTCATCGTCTCCCCACCTCTCCTGTCTCCTCCGCTTCTCTCCTTTTTTTCTCTACTCCTCGTCTCTCATTCCCTCCTCTCCTGTCCCTCTCTCCTCCTCTCATCTCCTCTCCCCTCCTCTCCTATCCACATCCCTTTCCTCCTCTCCCTCTCCTCCTCTCCCCTCCCCCCGCCTCCTCTTCTTCCTGCTCTGCTCCACTACACTCCGCCTCCTCTCTTCAACTCTCTTCCCCTCTCCTCTCCCCTCCTCTCCTATCCCTCTCCTCCTCTCATCTCCTCTCCTATCCACATCCCTTTCCTCCTCTCCCTCTCCTCCTCTCCTCTCCCCTCCTCTCCTATCCCTCTCTCCTCCTCTCATCTCCTCTCTTATCCACATCCCTCTCCTCCTCTCCCTCTCTTCTCCTCATCTCTCATTCCACTCTAACCCTAACTCTCCTCTCCTCTTCTCTCCTATCCCTCTCCTCTCCCCCCCCCGCCTCCTCTCCTCCCCGCTCTGCTCCACTCCACTCCGCCTCCTCTCTTCAACACTCTTCCCCTCTCCTCTCCCATCCCGCTCCGCCTCCTCTCCTCTTCTCTCCTCCTCTCCTGTACCTCTCATATTCTCTCCTATCCCTTCCCCTCCTCTACTCTCCTCTTCTCTCCTCTCCCCTCACCTATCCCTATCCCTCTCCTCTGCTCTCATCGTCTCCCCACCTCTCCTGTCTCCTCCGCTTCTCTCCTTTTTTCCTCTATTCCTCATCTCTCATTCCCTCCTCTCCTGTCCCTCTCTCCTCCTCTCATCTCCTCTCTCCTCCTCTCCTATCCATATCCCTCTCCTCCTCTCCTCTTCTCGCCTCTTCTATCACTCTCATCTCATCTCCTCTTCTCTCCAATCCCTATCCTCCTCTTCTCTCCTAACCCTATCCCTCTCCTCCCTTGACCTCCTCTCCTCCCCGCTCCACTCCACCTCCTCTCCTCAAGTCTCTTCCCCTCTCCTCTCCCATCCCGCTCCGCCTCCTCTCCTCTTCTCTCCTCCTCTCCTGTACCTCTCATATTCTCTCCTATCCCTTCCCCTCCTCTACTCTCCTCTTCTCTCCTCTCCCATCACCTATCCCTATCCCTCTCCTCTGCTCTCATCGTCTCCCCACCTCTCCTGTCTCCTCCGCTTCTCTCCTTTTTTCCTCTATTCCTCATCTCTCATTCCCTCCTCTCCTGTCCCTCTCTCCTCCTCTCATCTCCTCTCTCCTCCTCTCTATCCATATCCCTCTCCTCCTCTCCTCTTCTCGCCTCTTCTATCACTCTCATCTCATCTCCTCTTCTCTCCAATCCCTATCCTCCTCTTCTCCTAACCCTATCCCTCTCCTCCCTTGACCTCCTCTCCTCCCCGCTCCACTCCACCTCCTCTCCTCAAGTCTCTTCCCCTCTCCTCTCCCATCCCGCTCCGCCTCCTCTCCTCTTCTCTCCTCCTCTTCTCTCCCTCTCATATTCTCTCCTATCCCCTCCACTCCTCTACTCTCCTCTTCTCTCCTCTCCCCTCACCTATCCCTATCCCTCTCCTCTGCTCTCATCGCCTCCCCACCTCTCCTGTCTCCTCCGCTTCTCTCCTTTTTTCTCTATTCCTCATCTCTCATTCCCTCCTCTCCTGTCCCTCTCTCCTCCTCTCATCTCCTCTCTCCTCCTCTCCTATCCATATCCCTCTCCTCCTCTCCTCTTCTCGCCTCTTCTATCACTCTCATCTCATCTCATCTCCTCTTCTCTCCAATCCCTATCCTCCTCTTCTCTCCTAACCCTATCCCTCTCCTCCCTTGACCTCCTCTCCTCCCCGCTCCACTCCACCTCCTCTCCTCAAGTCTCTTCCCCTCTCCTCTCCCATCCCGCTCCGCCTCCTCTCCTCTTCTCTCCTCCTCTCCTGTACCTCTCATATTCTCTCCTATCCCTTCCCCTCCTCTACTCTCCTCTTCTCTCCTCTCCCATCACCTATCCCTATCCCTCTCCTCTGCTCTCATCGTCTCCCCACCTCTCCTGTCTCCTCCGCTTCTCTCCTTTTTTCCTCTATTCCTCATCTCTCATTCCCTCCTCTCCTGTCCCTCTCTCCTCCTCTCATCTCCTCTCTCCTCCTCTCCTATCCATATCCCTCTCCTCCTCTCCTCTTCTCGCCTCTTCTATCACTCTCATCTCATCTCCTCTTCTCTCCAATCCCTATCCTCCTCTTCTCTCCTAACCCTATCCCTCTCCTCCCTTGACCTCCTCTCCTCCCCGCTCCACTCCACTCCGCCTCCTCAACTCTCTTCCCCTCTCCTCTCCCATCCCGCTCCGCCTCCTCTCCTCTTCTCTCCTCCTCTCCTGTACCTCTCATATTCTCTCCTATCCCTTCCCTCCTCTACTCTCCTCTTCTCTCCTCTCCCCTCACCTATCCCTATCCCTCTCCTCTGCTCTCATCGCCTCCCCACCTCTCCTGTCTCCTCCGCTTCTCTCCTTTTTTCCTCTATTCCTCATCTCTCATTCCCTCCTCTCCTGTCCCTCTCTCCTCCTCTCATCTCCTCTCTCCTCCTCTCCTATCCATATCCCTCTCCTCCTCTCCTCTTCTCGCCTCTTCTATCACTCTCATCTCATCTCATCTCCTCTTCTCTCCAATCCCTATCCTCCTCTTCTCTCCTAACCCTATCCCTCTCCTCCCTTGACCTCCTCTCCTCCCCGCTCCACTCCACCTCCTCTCCTCCCCGCTCCACTCCACCACCTCTCCTCTCCCATCCCGCTCCGCCTCCTCTCCTCTTGTCTCCTCCTCTCATTGCTTCTTCTCTTCTCTCCATCAGGGGTTGGCCCACCTGCACGCTCATCATGTCATCCACAGAGACATCAAGGGCCAGAATGTGCTGCTGACTGAGAACGCAGAGGTCAAACTAGGTCAGATCTCTACTGATTCTCTACATTTATCCCGAATACAGTCACATCTCCAGTTCTCGCGGTTTGATGCATGCGGTAGACAAGCCTTTCATGGAAAAGTTTTCTCAGACTCGTGAGAATAGCCTTTCTTGAACAAAATCATCAGCAATAAACAAATGCTTTTTTTATTTTATTCATTTTCTTTTTTCACTCATGTAAATCTGACAACTCTTATCTAATCCAGTTAATCACACTGTTTTGCCACAGTTTACAGTGATGACGACACTGTTATAGCAGTTTACAGAGGAGGAAACATCATGAATGAAAAATATCTGACAACAGCAGTTCCTATAACATCAATATCCTGAGAGAATAGCCTTCATGTATAGTCCCCTAAGCTTTTCTTGTCGCCACTCATGTGTTTTTCATACAGGAGAAGCATGCTTCATGTGGAAGAGGTTGTTGTGGTAATGAATATTAAAGGAGCTGTATGTTAGAAATGTATTTCAAATAATCATAAAATGGCCCTGATATGTCACTAGACATTAAGAAATCATGTTCATTTCAAATACTTCTATCACTGACAACAGCAGTCCGGCCAGGATATTGTCATTTAAACAGTGAAGTTGCAGCCCTCAGCTGTCATGTTGTGTTTTGGTCTGATGCTCCGCCCTCCACCAATCCACCAATCACAGAGTCAGTAGTGTTGCAGCATCCGGGTTGCCAGCTCTGCTCTAGTTACCACAGCTGCAGATACACACGGATCCTGCAGCCTATCTGGCAACCTCGAGTCAGGGAGTAGGGGATACACCGCTCTACAGTCATTTGAAAGTGATTGCAGTACCAGTTTTGGCCACAATCTTACATACGGCTCCTTTAATACCTGCTTTTGAAGGAGAGTTAAAAAAAATCCTAATTTTGAGGCTGTCATTAAATATCAAAAATGAAATGAAGCAGTAACATCAAGTATTATTTTTAAATGTTGTTTTAGGTCACTCCTTTCACTAATTTAACACTGTTGATCATGGTTAAAATGATCCTTTAAGTGTGTAAATTAATCAGTGAATATCCTTTCATTTTTTCAGTTTAATTTTGCTTGAAATATTTAATTTATAAAATAAAATATATTTCAATATTTTACATATATAAGTGCCTCATTTCATTTCCTTAAAGTTTAGAATCATGTTTTATTGTGAAAATCATCCACAGCACCACCTAGTGTCCAACCAGCGCTAATACAGTATACCCGGCTGCAGATACTGTATGGAAAATGATGCAAAATATTAAATAATTCACTTTTGCTCTCCAGGCCAGTGATTACCTTCTGGATTTGATTATCTTACACATTCTGGAGGGCAGAAGCAGCTCCTAACAGTAAATT